AGGACATGTAAAATAAATAGTTTGATCATAAGCATAAATATGTAGAATTTTAGATCGATGATTTTATATATCTAAAAGTTAGTCCAATGAACGGCTTGAGTAGGAAGGGATAACAAGTTAAGTCCTATGTATATGAGTTCATTTAAAGTGTTTGAGATGATCAAGAAATTTACATACTGATTATTTTTTCTAGACCATATTTTAGAAATCCATAATATATTTCATGTCTCAATGCTAAGAAAATATGTATCAGATGTAGATTGGAGAGGTTCTAAAGCTAAAGTTGAAGTGCAATCTAATCTAACATATAGAGAAGAACCTGAATGTATTTTGACCAATGATGTAAGCCAATTAAGAAACAGAGAGATTCTAATGGTCAAGATGTAGTGGAAACACAAGCTGAAATGGGAAACAACCTGGAATAAAGAGGCTGAGATGAGGAAGTTGTATCATGGTCTATTTTGAAGATACTATGTATTAAGAATGTTAAGGATGACACTCATATAAAAATGGAAGGATGCAATATTAATCATCATGAATTCAAGTAATTTCTATTAATGATCATTAATTTTAATTTAATTAGTAATTATAGGTCTCAGAATGTTTAAGGTAGCCTTGGATAAGTTATGAAGTTGATTAGATAAGTGAAATTCCATATATCAAAAATTGCTCTATGAGCACTGTAGCATTGGGATTACCAACGTCGTGACATTAAGCTCTTAGGTGGAGGGGGCAAAATGAGTGTTTGGTGAGGTGTCAGGTGATGTCACCACGAGGCTAAGGCTTGAATAAAAAGATTCTTAGAGAATCTATAAGATTCTCTAAGAGTGTAGAGTGTTGGGGAGTTGACCACCATAGCACTAGGTTAGATTAATGATTTTTAAATATTTAAATATCTTAAACCATATGCTAAAATCCATTTCTCCAGCCACCTTGCCAGAAAAGAGAGAAGGAAAAGAGGAAGGGAAAAGAGGAAAGAGAAAGGGAGAGATTTTGAAGGTCAAAGCTTAAGATTCGTTTGTCGGGTATATTCAGGATATTATTGAGCTTGAGGTAGACTTCTGAATCCCTATATCTCTAATTTCAATTCAAGTGATTTTATAAAGTGTTATATATATATTAGTTTCATGATGTTTTTATCATCTAACTTTTAATATATTGTTGTACACTTTATTCTGAAAGTTTTGATTCTATGATTTTTTTATCAGTTGATTTTTCATATATAATTTTTTTAGCATATAATTGAATTGGGGATTTTATGAATATTTTAATAGTAATGTTAAAATATTCCTATTAATATCTCTCTGAAGTTGAAAAAAGTTGAGTGAGCATAATATTATACAAGTAACATGGCTTATTAGTAATACTAATAATTCATATATCATCTAACTACTACATTGAAAGCATAAATTAACTATTGTTGCATTCATGATTGCATAGTACAACATGGGAGATATTCTGACATGTGAAAGTGCGCTCTGATATGTTAAAAGGGTCGTATATGTTTTTTTTGCCCTCATCTATCTAATGTGGATGTGAGAGGGATTTAGGCCCTCACTTGCTGAAAGTGAGTGTGAGAGTTTATGTGACACTATTCTTTCTGATTTTGGCCCCATTTTCTACATGCAGATGTGGAAGATTTAAGGGAGGTATAAGTGAAAGTGAAGTTATAAGCAGACATCGAAACATCAGAACATATGCATTCTAATCATTGCATTGCATATGTGTCAATGAATTAAGTACAAGTAATATTCTCAATTGAATATTAGAATTTTCTAAATTTATGTATGAACCTTTCATGGGAAGATATGAAGGACAAATGCAAATGAATGTTTGATGGCAAGTATTTTATGATGTATATGAAAATCTCAATGAAAGTGACCTTACAAGAAAGCAATAAATTTGAAAATAAGAGTACATTGAAACTCTAGGAGATTTGCATTTATAATATTTCAGTTATGCTTTATAACATTGCCTTTTATTTGCATTGCAATTTATTCTTTTGAAATTGAATATTAATATTTGTGATGATTTAAGGAAATAAGTCTACTGAGTTGGTTGTGCTCACTCTATTATTTATAATATTTCAGGAAAAAGGAAGGACCTAATAAAGTAGAATAATTTAGATGCAGGTTCCTCAAGGGCCAAGTAGGAAGGTAGTATTTTATAATCTAGTTTTATTTATTTTGACTAAAAAGAAGACTCAACAAAGTCAATAGAGATCCACCTAGGAGCGACTTATCTCAAAAGAACTCGCCTAATTAAGGGATTCATCTTAGAAGAATTCATCTGATTGAGGCACTTTCTTAAGAGGAACTCCTCTGATTTAGGCACTCTCTTTATAACTCTCCCAAGTGAGGTACTCATCATAGGAGAAATCCTCTCAAATAAAGGAGCATATACAAGGGCGGAACCCCTCTATGGGTAGGGGGTTGCCCCCCCCCCCCTCCCCTCAAAAAAAAATTTTTTTTTAATGCTCTTATTTAGATTATTTTTAGTATTTATTACAAGGGCTTTAAGCAAATTGCCCCCCCTAAAAATGTTAAAACTTGGTCAAAAGTCAATTGCCCCCAATATAATTAAATCATTGTGTTAGATGTATTATTTAGTAGAATGATAAAAACCATACAAAGGAGAATAATAAATCAAAAATTGTTCCGGGGGCGCTGCCCCCGGAAACCCCAGCAGGGGCGCTGCCCCTTGACCCCGCGATTGAACCGATCATGTCGAACCCCGCCAGGGGGCGCTGCCCCTTTGGACCCCCGACATATATGTGAACACTTATATGTTTGCCCCCCCCCCCCCTAAAAATTATGGCTGGTTCCGCCCCTGAGCATATACCCAATAAGTAGGAGATGCTCGTCTACCTGATAATGAAAACTTCACCAACCTAACCTACAAAGGCCTCACTTATTATAGAACCAACCAAAGGCACTCACCCTATACAATCTTCAAAGACACACACTTAAGCACCGTAGACACTCATCAAAAGTACCCCATGGTCACATTAGAGGTGGTTGTACAAAGTTATTTCCACATGTCTGCTGCAGCAGTCAAATAATTATTTTACTTTTTATTAGGTGTAATTTCTTATATAACTTCCCTACTTCAACATTTGAGGAATTCATATCAATTATTGCTTACAATGAATAATAGAATTCTAAGACTTTTTTACTATTCCATCTCTCCTTTTTCTTGCTCTATCATTCTATTATCCAATGTCAAAGACTTAAAAGTCTACACATTGACTTGGGCTTACCACCATGGATTGTAGCTTGAATGGTCATCTGATTGGATGTTTTAGTGAGAGACCAATCGTTTTTATTTATAACATTAAAACTTCGCCATTTTGGTAATGAATATAACCATACGGGCTGATCTGACTTTATCAAGAAAATTCTTAAAATCTTAGAGGATGGATGAAATTTGATTAAGGAAAAAAAGAAGAGATTCAAATATTCAAATCTCAAATAGATGAACCTATCATTGAAATATATTTTGTCAAATATCTGTTCAAGCTTAGCTCAAGCTCGATTTAAACTTTAAGAAAATGTTTACATTTGATTCATATAAATTAGATCTTATTAAAGCTTAATTTGAGCTCAATTTGAACTTAATTTATTTTATGATTACTAAGCTTTTAAGCTAGCTGCTAGCTTGCTTATCAAGTCGGGCTTGTTAAGCTTAAAGATTAAGATTTTAATTAAACCAAAATTTAATTTTATTTTATAAAACCTTTAAAGGACTTAATAATTTTTTTGAGCTTACTCAAGCAGGATTCCAGTGTTTAAAGGCTGCATGCTCGTGCAATTAAGCTAATAAGTGGCAAGGCTTCACCCTTCAAACAATATAAACCGCACTACTTTGTCCTTCAAACTTGATCGATGTGAGACTAAGGATTCGTTTGGGGCGGCTTTCTTACTACTTCTTAAAGCAGCTTTCTAGTATAAATTTTTTAATTTTTGCACTAAAAAGTTACTCTATGAAGCAGTAAGAAAGCCGTCCCAAACAAAACCTAAGGCTTCATTTGAGACGACTTTCTTATTGTTTCTTAAAATTACCTTCTAATATAAAAAAAATTAATTTTTAAATTAAATAAGTGTTTTAAGGAGCAATAAAAGCCAAATTTTTTTATTTTTGTACTAAAAAATTATTTCTCCCAAACGAAGCGTAAGACTTTCTTATTGTTTTCTAAAGAAACTTTTTAGTACAAATAATTTTAGTTTAAAAAAAAAATATAAAAAAATTATTTTAAAAATTAGTAAAAAAAGTCATCCCAAGATATTATTGGGAAAAAAATTTTACTATTTTTTTTTTTGAACTGCATTTCTAATATAAAACTTTTTGTACTAAAAAATTGCTTTAAAAAGCAATAAGAAAGCTTTATCAAACAAAACTTAAAACTTCATTTGAGAAAACTTTCTTATTACTTCCTAGAATAATTTTCTAATATAAAATTTTTTAGTTCAATAAATTTTTAATATTAGAAAACTGCTTTGTAAAGTTACATTAAAAAAAGGTTATTTTAGAAAATATTTTTCTAGTACAAAATTTTTTTAGAAAACAATGGCCAAATAGAAATTTTAATTGTGATCTAAAAAACAAAAAAAAAGTAAGAAAACTAGCACGAACGAAGCCTAATACTTAATTTGCCACAACTTTCTACTTACTTTCTAATAAAAAAAATTAATTCAAGAAATTTTCAAACAAAAAAATAATTTAAAAACAGAAAAATATTGTCCCAAACGAAGCCTAAATTGCCTGAAGCTAGCACACTTAATTCAAAAGCATTGGAGATTAACAAATATTCAAGGCATATAACTACAAAATATTTAAATCTCTATAAACAGTATTTCAATAGTACTTAAAAACAATATAAGCCAACATAAATAATGTTTAATAACATATACATAATATGAATTAACAATATAAACCAGCATAAATAAACAATATAAGGGGTGCTATGAAACATAAAACCTCCAAGGATATTATATATGAGATTACCAAATTCAAACATTGCTTAAAACTTGATCAACCTTAGTAGTTATTTGACAAATGTTTCAATGTTGATCAAAACATTTATGTACCTCAATTGAAGTATATATATGAAATACAAGGATTTGAACTTTGATTACAGATAATTATAGAGCATACAGGGGTATAAAATATAATAACGGTGTCAGAAAACATTATTGAATAATATGTTCATTTCTCGGTATATCAATCATTCAATCCATGGAACAAACTAAGGTTAGATGTTTGGTAAATATTACCAAAGACCATTTATGACCTCACTTTAGCCAGTCGTGCCCTTATCTCCTCTAGCTCTCCCTCATCATCTACACCTTCAGCTATGGCCTCAGACTATCCATAAAAAAAAGAAAAGAAATGAGGAAGGTTTAAACTGGTTAGTTGAATTTCATAATAGGGAGTTAGAGTTAACCATGGTTACCTGTTGCTCTTCCTTCTGGCTAGATGCAGGTTGCTTTGTCCTTACCTTCCTGACTGCATCTGGAAGCTGGGAGGCTGTCTCACCAGCTATTGCAGAAAGCACCTTCTCAATCTCCTCTTCTGTTTCTTCTTCTATGTCTTCCGAATCCAGAGCTGAATCAACAGCATCATTCACCATTTCTTCAATCACCCCAGCCTGAAAGTTTGCAAGTGAGCAGCTAGATGAAAGGCATTATTTGTTTAAAAGGGATCAAAGTATTCACCATCAACATTCTTTTGCTGTGCAAAGCGTTTTTAGAGAAATTCATGGAACATAACTATAAGGTGGCTAACTTTCAGTGGATAAGGTTTTAAACATATAAAATTGAACAAAAGTCCTTAGATTAAGCACACTGCTCAGATACTTTTATAAGCAAAGCAAAGTATGATGATGGAAGAGAGCTTAATTTTGAATTTTTAGCTGACCCTGGAGGTTAATTTGATGCGATATAAAGCTAGTGAAGTAGGTGTATGCAGGAAGACAGCATTGTCTACTGCAGCTTTATGCGTTTTTTGTCTCAGCAGCTCTTACCTTCAGATGATAAATAGATAAATACTAGAGATGATTTCATGCCAACTTAGGCTTCGTTTGGGACGGCTTTTTTATTGCTTCTTAAAGCAGCTTTCTAGTACAAAATTTTTAATTTTTATATCAAAAAACTGCTTTAAGAAACAGTAAAAAAGCCGTCCCAAACGAAGCCTTAGATGTCAAACAAACTAGCATTAGAATGCTTGTCTTTGTTTTTTCAGAAAAAAGTAGAAACGAAGTGCATGCTTTACATAAGGACACAATATAATTTACTGCTGCAAATATCACCTATAAATGTTATAAACATAGCCCGAAAATGTAAATTGTTTTTAATAGACATAAAGCTTTCCATGTGAATGTTTGAAGGTATAAAGGAGATATCATAATAGCGTGTAAGAACCAAAATGATCATTTTAGTAGAATACAAACGAAATGGCAGGTCACTTGGCCCATCAAAATATTCTCAGAGAAATTAGAGTTGTCTTCATAGTGATAACTTGAGTAGGAAAGGAAATTGATGTCACCTAGACAAGACGAGCTATAGACATGACCACAGGAAAATACAAATCAAAATGCTCCAATAACCGTAATCACAGGTCCACAACTTTCAGCTTTTAGGTTCATGAATCCTTCTGCACCATTAATGAAAATGTTCCTAAAGACACGGAAGCAATAATTAAGAAAACGTATCACTCATCTGGGTGGAGATTGCAGAAACTGTTTGACCCAGATTCTGAAATTAAAACTCATCTCGAGTGAATATGTTAAATCTTCAGTAATAATTAAAGCAGCAACAACCGCAACTCAAGGCAGGCCAATCTAACTCAGTAAATTATAAGAGAAGAAAATCCACCACAAATGACGATCATCAAATATAGGTTAACTATAAGTCTAAAATGAGGACTATATAAAGCTTTCATGAAAGGACCTTCGTCACTATATGATGATTTCATTAAGGTTGAAAATACGCTTGACGACTATGAACCCACAAGAAGTTTTGAGACTCATAAACTGTGTCAGTGCCTTGAACACTTAAAAAACTCGTCTAAAGTATATATTAAAAATCAAAGTTTCTTATATGAAATCATCAAACTGCCAAAAGCTAAAGCTAAAAAATATAACATTATATCTCTCAATAGACGATGTTTAAAAGTGCCAAGATCAACATGGAAAATGATTATATGGTATTACTAGCATTGGACTTATTATAATTGCAATGCAGAAGTTTTTAGTGTAAAACTTTGTAGAAAGCCATTTAAATTGATGTCCCTTCATCAGTAGCCACCTACACAGAAGTCGGGTCAATAATAGTGTAAAATCAATAATGAAAAAAATCACAATAAAAGCATCAAGATGAAAGAAGTTCAACGGAAGAAACTTTATCCAAAAATAACTCGCCTTTGTCATTTCCTTGCTAAATTCTTGCATTGTTGTTGCCACTTCAGGAGCCTTCATAAGGCTACTGACTAGCTTCATTACCTCGGCACTCTTGGAGAGATGACCAACAGTTCTTGCAGTAGCTATAAGTCACATAAAGATAATAATTATGTGTGTATGTAGATCTGAATTCCAAGGATAATAAGAAGTGAACTCAAATAATGATTTACTTCATAAAATAAGCCAATATGAAAGAGAAATTATATATATAAAAAAAGACTGGAAACATGGTTCAAGAATGAGAAGTTAAATGCCAAACTAAGCCCCATACTACCCAAACACCCACCCCCTATATCTCAAACACCACTATGTCTCCCACTTTGCAGTTGCATGAACAAGTTTGGTTTAAAGGTTATGCTATAAACTCAGCTCTTTTTATTTGAAAAATCATTAGAAGTGGCCTTAAAACTGTTGATTGTCATTCAGCTCATGGGATATCTTTTACCCAAACTTGCTCTCTATGCAATATCTTTTAGTCAAACTGCCCCATATGAATTGCACACTCACCTTTTCATTGATTGTATATTATCTTTTAAGTTGCTTAAAAGATGCATCTCCAATGGGGCAGTTTTACATACTGGGGCTCCATCTGGCAAATTCTAAGCTTTATTGACTGCATTCAATGCAAAATTACTAGAAATTTCTTCTTTTAACTATCATGTTACAGCTTATGATATTTGGCTTGAGAGAAATAACAAAAGGGCTTAAAATTACTGATACTAAGATTTTGGTTGAAAAAAAATCCGATTTGCTATCCATCTCAAAGAAAAAAGTGGAAGCTGAGGCATAATTTGCCTACACGCATCAAAGGGATATATTTCTCTTGATCTGATCTGTTTGGTTATATTCTTATGCCCTCTTCTTATCTCTTAATGCTTCTGAGTTTTTTTTTTTTTTTTGGTTTGGTAGTTGATTTTTTACTGCCTTACATGTTCTATGAGCTACTAGTTACAAGTAGATTCAATTTGCACTGGGCTGCTAGTTTATTTCTGAATTTCTCTTCATCGTTATCTTATGATATGTGGATTCATTATGCCATATCCTATCATGGTCATTTCAATGTTTTTACTGCACCTTACTACCATGAGGGGAGGCTCCTTACTGACATTGGGGACATTCTGGGTTCATTGGCTGTGTCTACAGGAGATGCACCTTACTATCACATGTAGCACCCTTTGTCAATTTTTTGATGCGCCTTTCATTCATCACTTGGATTACTTCTCGACACCTATATGCCATTTTTGAGATTTGTTACAGATCCTATGGGCATGTTGGGATTATAGTTTTCATCTTGAGACAATATCTTGTGCCAAGTCTATCTCCTTTTTTTTTTCTGGCTCTAACTTGTAGTTTTTATATGTAATCTTTTGATCCATCATTTGACATGGCTGAGCGTGGCCCTCAAAATTCCCCCCCAAAAAATTAAAACTTAAAAAGAAAGAAGATCAAGAGACCCGAAACTAAGCATTTATAAATTATCAATCAAGAACCCAAAAAAAGAATTTTAAGTGATTATCATTGTTTAGGTTGCAGAAGGAATGGACCAACAAACATAACAAAAGCTTAAGAAGCACAGACAGCAGCATGTGACACAAGCTTGGAAAAAATATAAAAATAGGACATGACATGAGATGCCATGGAGATGATATTTTCATTTATAAATTCTTAGTATAAAATATGTAATCAAAACACCTAATGCCAATATTTTTAAATTAAAAAGTATCACATAATAAGATATCATATCATATGCACCACATTCAAAGCTTAAGGATCAATAAAAGTAAAGCTAGCAATAGCTTGATGATAATTAAATTTCAATATTTATAAAGTGCATTTAATATTAACAATAAACACACTTTTTTGAATAACTAGACAATGATTTTAACAATATTAATAGTATATTGTCCACACAAAATACATAAAACCTCAAAAAATAATATATGAACATCAAAATAACCACATAAAATGTGAACGCATTGATGTATCACTATTTGTACAAATTGCATTGAGTGTCATGATCATCAACACTAACACCAGAGTTCTCAATGGCATATTCACCATCATTGGGAAAAAAAAAAGCATGACACCATCATTGCTTCCTAGGATAGGTTGCAATCTCTAAGCTTGTTACAGCGTGTTCTAGTCGAATTCAACTTTAATGTTGAATGAAAATACATCGAATACAATTTTCAACATGACAAACATATTTTGAGACATGGCCGATGTATTTTTTTGTCTAACACGTGTTGGACACAGACATTGAAGGCTTTCTATATTCATGCCTCATAGCAAACAATCTTTGAGCTATGTTTGGTTTGAAGGAATTGAAAGAGAGAGAATGAAAAAAATAAATGGAAATGGTAAAGCAATTGAACTGAAATTAATTTTCATTCTTTTGATTGAAAAATTAAGTGAATTTTTGTTTTCTTGCTTAGTTAATGTAAAATTGAGTTTTTATTTTTGGTGGGGAGAGGCATGCGAGTTATAGCGACGGCCCCATACTTTTTCTTTGCATTTTTTCCTAGGAATGGGTAGGGAATTACCAATGGAAAAATGCAGTTACATTTCCTATGCAAATCCAAATACTTGTTAATCACATTAGAACCAAAAATAAAATATGAATTTGTGAAGAAAAAAGCATTTGAATTCCCTCCAATTCCTTCAAATCAAACATCCCCTTAATAAATTTAGCATGTTAAACATTCATACATCATCTCTATACTTCCATCAACCTTGTGTTTAATAGTGAAAAACTATTTGCACCCCGCTAAAATATAATTCACAGCCCTTGGTTAAATATTTTTACATCTAATGCATTTATGACACTACCTATTTAGACTAATAAATATATACCAATCATAGTGGAGGTAAGGGCATAGTTGATTTGTGACTGATTGGACATTTTATGGAATAAGAATATTTGTTCTTTCCAGAATAGGACTTGCCTGAATTATGCCTTCAGGAAATCTTTTCAATGTCGTATTTGGTCATATAGGAGCATGGCACTCAATTAAAGGAACAACATAGCTGATGGTTGCAGGAGATTGATTGATCAAGGTCGGAAATCCTGATTGGCGAATCTACAGCTGCAGAACCAAGAGAACGACAAAGCAAAAGCAATGGCTCTAAATATTAAACCGCTCAAGCTCCTTGTTGTTAACTACACTCTTTCATTATAACTTCTTCTTCAAAAGTGATATACCAAATTACCAATACTACTATTCTCAATAGCATACTCTAAGGTACTGCATTTTGAAAATCTTTTGCAAGCATCTCAAGAACTTAATGTTGATAAAAGAAGTTTCACAATGAGAAGAAATAAAAACCATTAAATTCATAGAAGGTCCAATTTTTCCTAAATGATAGAAGGCGTTGGATAACAGAAAATTAAGTTCTCCCAAAGGAAACCTCTAGTTTTTAACAAAAATAGGGTAAGATAAAAAGAGGACTTTTTAAGTGTGTTTTTGTGGTAACATATCATACAATTCCATAGAAGTTTTAAAGAAAAGTGAAGATTGTAGACATTTAACCTCAAGCATTTGTTGCTTTCATTAAAAATATATATATTTGTCTTCAAACAAAGAAAAAGGAGACACCTTATGGCCATTACAACATCCATTACACGGTGAAGCTTAAGTCCTTTATATGAAGGAATTTACTGAAAGAAAACCATAAAAGTTGATTTCCACTAAGTGCCAAAAAAACATATGAATTCTATCCTACTAGCAAACAATTCTTAAATGATGATAGCAAGCTAGACAGAAAGATTAAGGCTAATTTACTCAAAAGATTAGCTAAGAAGTCATACAAGCGAGACACTTGACATAAAAATTCAATGGAAATCACAGTCACATACCAACAATTTCACCAAGGTGCATAGAAACTGAATTTAGTTGTGCCTTGTTTTCATGAAGGCGGTTAACAGCTCTCCTTGATCTTACAATTTCCTTAGCAAGTGTCTGCAATTTAAAATATATACATCAAATGATATTCTATAAAACAAAAAAAATAAAGGTAATAAACAATAACAACAACAACATGCCTTTATCCTACTAGGTGGAGTCGGCTATATGAATCATTTTTTTCATTGTGTCCTATTAAGAGTCAAATTCTATATAATATGAATTCAAGATGTGAGCAATGCAAGAAAATAACACATAAGAATATCACCTCTACGTATAACGATATCTCTCAATGCTTATCCTTTTTAAACCCATGTTATGAAGTTATTGCTTTCTCAATTCTTTCACTAGATACTTAACATGGACAAAAGATTCTAGGTCTTCTCAAAACTAATAAGAACCCTACCAATTCATTACTTTGTGATCAAACAGAGTAGTGGCTTAGATCACATTTAGTACTTAAATCATTTTGTTTCCCCTATCCTAAGTGATATTAAGCTCATTATCAACATAATCAATGGCCTTATCCTAATTATTTGGGTTGGCTTTGTGAATCATCCTCCACTAAATGAGGTACTTAACTTACTCAATGCCACTATTTTTGCATGAATACAAGTCATAATATCTTTGAAACAAGCTTTAAAATTGTACTATTGGGTATTGAGGCATTTTTCATTTGTGAGGCGAGGCATAAGCCTCAAGGTGTTTAGAGGCGTAAGTCTCAACAACAACAACAACAACAACATCAAGCCTTTGTCCCACTACGTGGGGTCGACTACATGAATCCTTTTTCTCCATTGTGTCCTGTTAAAAGTCAAATTCTCATTTAAATCTAATAAAGAAATATCACTTCTAATATTTTCTAACCAAGACTTTTTAGATCTACCTCTTTCTTTCTTAATACAAGTCAAATCTAATACCTCTACTTTCCTAACCGGGTCATCTGAAGGTCGTCTGGCGCTACTCCAACCTTTTCACGGATATGCTCATTTCGTATGTCTCTAAGAGAAAATTCACTCATCCACCTGAGTATCCTCATCTCAGCAACACTTAACTTAATATTATGCTTCTCTTTTAATGGCCAACATTCTGCGCCATAAAGCATTGCAGGTCTCACCACCATCTTATAAAAATTTTCCTAAAGTTTGAGTGGTACTTTTCTATCACACAACAAACCCAAAGCATTCCTCCACTTCAACCATCCAACTTGAATTCTACTAATAATATCCCCATCTATTTCACCATCACTCTAAACAATAGAGCCAAGATATCTAAAATGAGTACACTTATTCATGACTTGATCGCTCAAACTCACAAACCCCTCACTAGATCTATTAAGACTAAAATTACAGTCCATGTATTCGGTTTTAGATCTACTCAAACGAAAGTCTTTAAACTCTAAGGTCGACCTGCATAATTTGAGTCTAGCTCAACTCCCTCTGTAGACTTATCAACAAGAAGAATATCATCACCAAAAAGCATACCCCAAGGTACATCCTCTTGCAAATGTCTAGCAAGAATATCCATAACTAAAGTAAAAAGATAAGGGCTTAAGGTTAATCCTTAATGTAATCCAACTGAAATAGAAAAATACCTGATCAAACCATCTTGTGTTTGAATGCAAGTAACAGCTCCTACATATATATCCCTAATAACCTCTTTCTTTTCTAGAACTCTCCATAGCACTTCTCTTAGACCTTTATCATATTCTTTCTCTAAATCAATAAATATGATATGTATATCCTCCTATTCTATCTAAACTTCTCCATCAAGCCTCTCAATAAATGAATAGCTTCCATAGTAGACCTACCTGGCATGAATCCAAATTGATTTTGAGAAACATTAGTATCATGTCGTAACCTATGCTCCATAACTCTCCCATTGTTTTAAAGTATGACACGTCAACTTAATTCCACTATAATTTGTACAATCTTATGCATCACATTTATTCTTAAAAATATGAATCAACACAATAACTCTCCACTCATCTGACATCTTTTTAATCTTCAAGATAATACTAAAAAGTTTAGTAAGCCAAGAAATTCCTTCATCTCCTAAACATTTTCACACCTCTCTTGGAAGATCATAAATTCCAATAATTTTTTCCACACTTCTTTTTCTTTAAAGCCTCTCTAACTTCACTTTTACTAATATGCCGATAAAAATAAAAATATCTATTTTCATTTAGAGTGCTAAAGTTTCTAAAGTCAATTGTATTCTCACAATCTTCATTGAAAAGCTTAGCAAAATATCTCATCCACCTTTGTTGAATATCCTCCTCTAAAAAAACACTTTTTTATCTTCATCGTTTATGCACTTCACTTGAACTAAATCCTTACTACTCTTATCTCTTTGTTTGGCTGACTTATACATATATCTTCCGCCCTCTTTAGAATCTAATATATTATATAAATCATTAAAAGCTAAAATTGTACAGCAGATTGCTTTCTTAGACACATTATGAGCCTCATTATATCTTTCCCAATTTTCATAGTTTTTACACTTAAACCAAGTTGTTGTGGCTATGGGGTGCATGAAGGCATGATTTTTACGGGATTTTACTTTAGAATTTAGGTCAATTTTAATATATATATATATAAAAGGTGAGGCGTACACCTCATGTCAATGAGGTGAGGCATACCTCAGCCAAACTAAGGCGCACACCTCATAAAAAAGCTTGAGGCGTAAGCCTCGAGGCACTTTTAACTAGAATTGCACTGAGGCGGGCCTCATATTACGCAATTTTAAAGAATGTTTTGAACTAAATTCTTTATAATTCTTTCACATTATTTCTACCCACCCACCTTATTAGTGGATCTACTTCTCTACAATTACATGCCCACCCAATCTAAATCCATTTTGAGTATTTTATCTTTGACATATTGTACTTCCAACATCTGTCTTGCACAATTATTGCTCAGTCTTCTTTCTTAAAATATCCATCTTAAGATAATACTATGAAAATCAACATGACTCTTAGTACTTTCTCCTTAAACCAATCTAAGCTATATAATATCGCAGATTTAACCATAGACTTTTATAATCTACCATTAAAATATGTATGATGTTATCTTATACCCAAGGCATATCTCAATTATAACTACCAAGCTTCCACTTTAGAATTCAAGTCCAAATGTGCATCTCCACACTTTTGTAAAATTGATTTAATATGCTTTAATTCAATCACATCTAAATATCACTTGATTATCTATAAATATTGAAAGATAATTACATTTTACATCAACAAAAATAATATTTAATGTAGTTGGCATTATTCTTCTAATCTAAGTGCCTTAGCTTCTACAAATCATCCAGGATTAGAAAATTTTACTTGTATCAAAAGAGAATTCATCTACTCAGACATAGATGTCAATGGCGCAAAAAAGTGCGCACCATGGCACACGGCGTGGCGCACCTCAGTGCCATGTGAATGGCGCGACGCAGATGTTCAAAATGGCGCACGCTATTTGCGCCACATGCGCGTTGGCACATGGCGCACGACGCAAAATAGCACGACGCTATTGTTTGAAAAGAAAGAGGGCTTGTTAGTGAAGTTTTTCTTTTTTGTTTTTATTTGAATTTTTAATATTATATAATTTTGTTTTGTGTAAAAAAAATATACTTTACAGAAGTACTAAATTTTTTCACTTTTTTTTAATAATTTCACTATTATTATAATCTGTTTGATTGTTTTGATCTTTCATTAGTCTTATATTAATAGTACACCTCTTTTACCTTTAAGAAATATAATAAAAGAGATTATATATTTATCAAATAAAATGTAAAATGACAATTGTTTTTTTTTCTTTGGCATACGTAACACAAAGAAGTTTTTTGAATATTTAGCATAGAATGTATATTTTATATGGCAAAATATTAAATATAATTTTAATTAGAAAACTCTTTTTATCATCAAATTGGCTGAAAAAATAAAAGTATTTAATATCTTGTTTGGTTTTAAGGGGCTACATATAATTAGTTTAGTTTAGGAGAGATAAATAATAATTTCCCTTAACACTTAATAAAATTTGGGAAATATTTTGTAACAGGAAGTTGTTTTCAAATTCCTTCTCCACAAGGTATTGCATTGGACTAATTAAATGTCAAAACATAATAGTAGTACTAAATTTGGGAGCATTTCTTTTTTTTCTCGATGATTGATGCAATGCCAGCCAAGACCTTGGTGCTATTGATATGTTATTGTGAAAGAATGGTGCATTATTGTCCGTATCAGTTGCTTTTGGTGATGGTGCTTCACTCTTAGGTTCAAGCTTTGGTTGTTCTTAGCTCAAGTTAACCCTAGTAGGCCAAACTGGACTCATTAAAAGCCCGAAACATGTAACAGATAAAAGAAATATATAGGGCAAAGGAACCATAAAATTTTTTTATTTTCTATGCTAATTAAAAAAATGCTGATGAAGATAACAAAATTTTGTTTGGCATTTGTTGATGATGATGATTCCCAATAAGAGGTAATTAAATTCTTATAAAATCATTGACCTTTAAAAAAATGATTGTAATATTTTGAGTTATGAGATGTTTGGGTGTTATTTACTTGAAGTTATATATGACTATGATTGTCTTTCAATATTATGATAGCTTGTCTTTCAGTTTAATGATATATCATATTCATGTTTATTATTTTATAATTTTTGTATAGTTTGCGACATGTTCAAAATGGCGTGTGCCGCGCCATGCGTTATGCGCCATGGCTCCAAAGGGACATTTGCGCCGTGATGCGCCATTCGCCATTAACAATTATAATTCAGAGTATATCATCCGAATAGACCATACAAAGAGATCAAATATCTTTGTATGCATCTTAATAACAAATATAAAAAGATGAGAACTTTATGTGTAATCCAAATATAATAAAAAATAATTCATTTACTCCAAGACTACTTCAATTATATTTATTACTACATCATACATATTAGTAATAGCTTTAGCATACCTTTGATACACATTTTTTTTCTCTTGGATATCTAACAAATAAATTCTTATGGTATTCTATCTTATGACTTGTCAAGACATAGAAATCATCTAAATATACATTTTTTCTCTCTATAATTTTTCAATAAATGCCTTATCACAAAAAAATTTACTCCATATCATATTATTTGGTACATCATACATATTAGTAATAGCTTTAGCATACCTTTGATACACATTTTTTTTCTCTTGGATATCTAACAAATAAATTCTTATGGTATTCTATCTTATGATTTGTCAAGACATAAAAATCATCTAAATATTCATTTTTTTCTCTCTATAATTTTTCAATAATTGCCTTATCACAAAAAAATTTACTCCATATCATATTATTTGGCACAAAAAAATCAATTATCTAATATTTACAAAATTCTTCTAAGCTTATGTTTCATTGCCCTATCATAAGTTCAGTTAATAACTCATAATTTTGATTTCATTATTCTTACCCTAATCCTTAATTTGAAATGATCCTAAAGACAACTACAAAAATTCTCTTTTCCCATCATTTATAACCTTCTTTATCATTAATTTTTCATTAAAATAATTGTTAACCAAATTTCTATCATATCTCTAATAACTCTCCTAATCTCATATAAAGCAGAAGTTTAATCATCACACATGTTCTTCAAAAATTAATCAGTTAATCTACACATTTTTCCTGGTTCTATGCATTATTCTCTTAAGAATTTCCTCCTTATGACTATCCTCAACATCATACTACATTGTTCTATCCATTATTCTCTTAAAAGTTTCCTACTTTATGAATTCTCATTTTTTTTTTGTTGAGTGTCGCATAATATGTTAAATCTATTATACAAAAATCCTTTTGAACTTCTATCTACATTAACTTAACTCTCTCTATTTTATTTTTTAATCTTTTCACAGTAATTTTATCTACATGTCTAATGGATGCATTTTATACCTTCATTGTACATATCCAAAAAAGTCAATCAAATTTCTACAACCCTATCTCCAATAGATGCACTATACAAGAACTATTATCCCAATCTCCAATGAAACTACCTTATTTAAAACCAAGATATTTTAGTTCAGTGAAGATTAACAACCTGTCATCTCTTAACAATCTTATCAGAGGAAAAATATTTATTTTGATAGTTATTATAAACTTCTTAGACATGTATCCATAAATAGAACTCTATCTTTGATTAAACTACCTTATAGTATATATATATATATATATAGTTCTCTTCTCATTTTATGAAGTATTGGACTATTTCACTATTGTAATGGCATATGAAACTAGCCTACTATAAAATCAAGAATAAATTTACCTATAAAACTACTATGTCGTATTTCATGCCCCATCAAAAATCGTCGTATAAATCACCTAACTGAAGCCTACATTCTATTCAAGCTCACAAAAATAAATTAGTTCAGAAATACTGCGACACTTATGGTTGGCATCAAAACCAAACCTTCTCACCACAATTAAGTTCAATTATGAGTTTTTCAAATGACGTTGAGTCAGCTCTTGACCATATTCACCACAATCAAATTAAAAATTATTTTTTGCACAGGGTTTATGAGTTGTTTTCAGGTTAATACTAACACTCAAAGGATTTATAATTTCAACAACATTTCTAAAACACATTACTATAAAATATGGCCACTTAGAAAGGCACACAAATGCATGAAATAGATTTTAACGAGCCCAAACTAACAAATATGTACCAACGAAGTTTCCCTTGCTTCTGGTGCATACTCATCTTTTCCATCATCATGGCGATACCCCAACTAGTTGAGATAAATAGTATGAATCATTCTTCTTCATTAATAACTGTGGAATGCTACCTGATGTTTTAACTCTATTTAGAAAAAAAGTTAACTCCTTTTAGAAGAAATCCTACAGCACAACTTATGCCAAAATCCATCAAATCAATCCTAGTTCAACTGCTACGATAAATCAGCAGAATAGATGAGTGACACAATCACAATTAAAGCATTGCAGGCTCTAATCAACAAATTCGTATGCAATCTAAGATCACAAGGTAAAAGGGACATCAAGAGATCAAACCTTAGCTGATGCCATGTCGTTCCGCTTCGCTGCATCCTTAATCGCTTTCTGCACGTTCCTCTCTTCCCTCTCCACATCTGCGAACAGAACACCATTTAATTATGAAATGAAAGAGAAAAAGCCAATGATACGAAAGATAATCCCAATTTGTACATCAGTTAAGGGAGTAAGAGGTTTGCCTCTGATTTGGCGTTCGACGTTTCGGCATTCTTGGCGGAGGCGGCGCTGCCAATCCCTGAGCTGTTGCTGAGGAGTAGGCTTCGGCTTTATCAGATTCTTCATCGTCTCCATCGCGCTTGGGTGACGAAGATCACTGAGCTAAGCCAATTGAGTTTCCAGAGGGCTAGGGTTCAAACAGATCATGGAGGAACATAACAGGAGCAGGAAACCGGAATACTGCCAGCAGAAATTTCTTCATGAGTTCTTTTTTTATATATATATATAAATAAAATGAAATAGTGTGATTCTAGATTATGAATTGGCCGTCATTTCTCCCTTAAAAAAAAAGTATTTATTATGTTTTGCATCAAAATAAAAATATTAACTGTTTAAATATAAAACTTTTTATAACATAAAAATAAATATAAACATAAAAACTTAAAAATATCAAAAAAATTAAAATTTTTTAGCATTAACTATTTATATTTAATTATTTTATTATTTTTATTATTTATTATTAATTAAAATATTTCTTAATTATAAAGTTATAATAGGTTAAACTTTTTTTTTCATTTTTCAAGTATTTAGATTATTATAAGTTTAATTAATATGAGAAGGGAGAAGAGAATTTTTATTTTATATACCTAATATTACCTGAATTTGAAGAAATATGTTCACTGTTTATTTTCTTAAAGAAATATGCCCTAAATTTATGTTGGCTATTGTTGGCTATGAAAATTTTGTCGACACAACCTAATTGAAGATTTTTTGTTGGTAGTCATAAGTTGTTTCGACTAAGGGTACATTATAGAACCTTGTAGACATGGGCCATAGTTTATTTAAAAGGATAAACTTAAATCAACCTTAGCTAATAGAGCTCATTGTTTTATTAAGACTACTATATAATTCATTACTCATAGCTAGTAGTCATTAGGAAGCATACATGCTATTGTTGTGATCATAATATAGTGGTGCCTGTAGCAAAATAACCAAATCAGAGAACCCTAATCATAACCATATATATGTAGAACCATTTAAGTTAAAAAATAAAAATATAAAAAAAATCTAAAAATGTAAAAAAATAAAAAAACAAAAAAGTAAAAAAAAAATTAAAAATAAATAAAAAATCATTTAAGTCAACCACTAGATAGCACATACCATATTCTTATTGACAGTAGATTATTTGAAAATAAATTTTAATAATATTCTTGACTAGACATTCACATTTTATGAGTTTAGATTATTCTCAAATTCAATTCCCTTACCAAACGATTTTGGATATGGAAGAATTTTGCTTGAGTAATTTAAGATTTTTGATAAATTTTTTATTATCAGAATTTGAGCTCTAAGTGATTAACTTCAAAAATTTGGGCCAATTTGAGAATCATGTAGTCCACTTCGATTGAGATTTTTTATTAATGCAACCATCATCGAAATAATGTTGAGAACACTTGAAATATATTTATATTTTATTAGAGTTTGGAAACATTCACAGAACAAGAGTCCTTATCGGTTGAGATTCACCTTCAACATAGTCATCATAAAGCAACATCATTTCAAACATTTATATTTGTAACGTGGGAGTTTAATATTTGAAAATTGACCCATACTTCTGAGATTCATCATTGGCATGACCATCATAGGGGATTTAAATATTTTATATTTTTATTATTTTAATCTTGAAAACTCTATTTGTTTGCCAATAGATGATCACATTCGATATCAACTTTTTGAATTATTACACAAGCATAAAATCCAAAATTTTATATTTTTGTAATGAATTTCTCTTGAAGAAGGCTTTAAGGTCTAATGCTAACTTACAAATCAAATATCTTGACGAATTTTATGGTGAAATATTCATTTATTAATACAAGTCTTATCAGCTATAATCTTTTTAAGGAGGAGGATCAAACATAAGATTTAAATTCCCATTTAACATGCATAGCATTTTCAGATCTTAGGTTTAAGAGTTCATTGAAATGACTGGAGGACTTGCGGGTGTTCTAATTTAAATATATAATTTTAATTTAACACTCTTTTAACCCCACACAATATTCTTAAACTTTTGTGTTCACATGATTCATATGTTTATCATAGCACATGTAGGGAATCAAAATTTTCATTAAAATGATGTACATGCTTTTCAATTTATATTGCATGATGCACTTATACATTATGTGTATACTTTCAATATATTGACACACTTTTCAGTATATTCACATGATACACTTGCATGCATTTTGATGCATTTGCATACTTTTAGTATGCTTGTATGCTTTTTTGTGCTTTCACACAATGCACTTGCATGTATTTTTTATATATTTGCATAATGCATTTCACACACTTTCAATTTGCTTGCACTTTTTTGTGTGCTCATATCAAGCACTCATGCTTTTTGGTGCATTTGCATAGCTTATTTGCAATCTTTCATTTTTTTTTTTTTGCAATTTTTGGTATGCTCATGTGATGTACTTACACATATTTAGGTGCAATAGCATAGCATGCTTGCATGCCTTTAATTTGCTAACATGATTTTCATTGTTTCTACACTCCTTTTAATATACATCATATTATTATTTTACAATAATAACATGTTTTTTGGTGAAACATTAAGATTTTCAAGGCTATCATATGCTTTTGATACCATGACACCCTTCTCGAAGCAATAACATATTTCTTGAGACAATGACATGTTTTTTAGGTTGTTGCACACTTCTTAAGGTGGTGTGCATGACGGAGTTATTACACACTTCTTGAAGCAGTTGCATGCTTCTCGAGATAGTAACATGCTTCAAAAGCTGGTTGCATTCTTCTCAAGGTTGTTACACATTTCACAAGGTGCACACTTCATGAGGTTGCTATACATTTCTCAAGGTGGCACACTTCATAAGTCCGTCACAAGCTTTCTGAGGCTATTGCACATTTATTGATGTTATAGTGCATTTCTTGAGGCGGCATGCTTCATTAGGTCTTTCACACTTCTTAAGATAGTGGCATACTTGTTGAGGTAGTAGCACACTTCATGGGTTGTTGGACTTTTCTATAAGTTGTTGTATGCTTATTCAGGTAATTATACAAAAAATAACATTTTGACGCTTAAAGTATGTCTTACGTTCACTTGCATGTGTGTTGTAGATCTGATGATGTTGAAAGAGAATTGGAATTATTTTATATCTTTAATATTGCCAAAAATTTCATTTTTATAGTTAGAGACTTTACATGTTAAATGTGAGTCAGACAAGCCAAATTCTTACCTGCAAGCAAGTTGATGTGTGCATTACAAGTCCACTACTCATATTCAATTTTATTCATTTGAAGCAGCATATGTTGTGCTTTATGTGTTTTCGTTTTTGATCTAGGAGTGTATTTAAATTTTTTTAATAGCATTTTTTTATCCAACAGGTTATTTTAATAGATTCATATTTAATTGTCATTTAGACAAAATTTTTATAGCCTCCCGACATCTGCACACGTATATGGAATTTTTGGGAGTATCAATGCCTACCCACCATGCTTATGAGAAGCAGGATGGTTAGTGTGACCCTCCAAGATTTAATTTAAATGAATTTCCTTTTTTATCATCTAATTACATACCAATGTCACAAATTTAATCATATAGAGTTATGTAGGTTTTCACATTATATCATATTTATGTAATTCAGGACATATGTCTTGTGTGGTGGTTTTCATGTATTATTCATATATGTCCTATAGGTTAAACATATATGAATCAATCACATCATATATTATTAAGTCAAAATCATGTTCATTTTTATTATCGTAAATTCTAATAAAAATGTGGGTTTTAGTTGATATCATACATGGATGTCTCAAGAAAATACAAATTTTGTAAAGTTAAGAATCAACGCCACAGCATCTTCAACTTCCTAACTCCAAAATCAGACATTGCAGTGTCAAAGCCTAAAACTAATGCATTTAATTTAACACTCTGATAGAATAAATGTCAGCGCAGCAATGCTACCTAGTGTGTCAGCACCCTAAGTGAACATTGCAGCACAAGAGCATTAGGAAAATTTTCAAATAATTCAAACAAGCATCAACCTTTGGAGCTCCGCAGAGCCAAATGATGGATAAAGTGCTGTCATGCCCATCTTTTTACAACATTTCTTGGCAATTTTGATGTTTCAAATGCAATGGCTAAATCTATTTCATGATTAGACATTGTTCATATTTTTTGCTTGATGTCGTTCTTGTAGTTTATTTTTTTAAGCATTTCTCGATTGAGATGTGATGAGAAGTGCTTCTTAGGTGAATTTAGTGTCATGAATACGTCAATGCAATCCATTTCACTAATAGATGATGTTTAAGTTGTTTGGGTTACAGTCAATGCATTTCAAACTCACTTTGCACAACGTCGAGTCAATTGGCCATTATCATGCATTTTAAATTTGCATGCGTGCGACATCCATCATTTGAATGTCCTTCTCTTCATGCTCACTTAGGTTAATTATGACATATCTATAGAGGCCAACGAGTTCATTTCAAATCAAATTATCTATGTTATTATATAAATAAAGTTTACAACTCTCACTCAAAAGTCAACTAAACTTTCAAACGAGGAGTTGCTTTAACATTCCTTTTCTGAGAGCCCCCTCCATCTCTCGCGATCTTCAAGTGTGTGAAACCAACCCATGACAATGTTTCTATCTATCTTCGCTTATATGTTCTGGATTAGTGATATTATATATTTGGTTATCTAGGCTTAAAATGGCTCGAGCATGATTTACATATAGCTAGAAAATATTTGAATAAGGCTTGAGCAATGTTCAAATAAGGTTTGAGTATGGTTTGATCAACCATTTTATTTTTCTCTATTATCTTTTTATAGAAGTGACACATTTGATTTATTTTGCTATAAACATAAATGTTGACTAATTTTTTCAATGGGGAGTGATTGAGAAATTTATTATGCAATTTGAGGCTGATGATATTATTGGTAAGGCTGAGAGATCCTCTTTAATCAATACTTTTAAACTATAATTCTTTGTGGCCTCAATTCATCATTTCTTACTAAGTTTAGTTGATGATAATGAGGATAGATATACTTTAATGTATTCAACATTGGGGTTAAGGACACAATATTTTGCATTGTTAAATTCACTCTCATTAGTAGGCCTAAGTTGGAAAGTTTCCATTGAGGAGGAATTCAAGAGAATGAACATAAGGAGTAGGCTAATAGATAACAACTTGGGTAGAGATAAGAACTTCAAGTATTTAAATCTTAAGAAAGAATTTATAGAG